GATGGGGGGAATGAAACGGAGGCCGGGGAATGTCGGTCCTGGGGCTGGGAGCACGTTACACGGTTCTCTTCCGCTGTATGTTTGAAATGCTCCATGAAGAGTTCAGAAGTCACCACCTCAGCCCGCAAGCCACCAAATCTCTACCTTCAAGCCAGTTCCGTCCATGAAGCTCTAACCCCGAGTGCGCCACTGCCCTCATCCAGCACCGACACAGGTGCACATGTGAGCACATGCACGCACATGCACACACACGCACACACAGACATGTGAACACACAGTGCACACCCACGTGTCATCCGGCCCCAAGGCTCCACCCACCACCTCTGATGACCCAGTTTTCATCTCCCAGCTCCACAGCCCCCACCCACTGGGGTCTCTGGTAGGTTCTTGAACAGCAGAGTCCTGGCACAGACTCTCCCTCGGGGCCTCAGGAGGCCCCCCCAACACCTGGACCTCAGACGCTGGCCTCCAGGCCTGGGAGAGGGAATCTCTGTGGTCTGAAGCCACCCAGCTGGTGGTCATCTCTCAGGGCAGCCTCGGGAAAGGAATGCGCCCCAAGTCCAGGGCTGGTCCTCTGAGAAAAGGGACGTGATCTCAAAGAATCCCGTTCCTTTCGTTTGAACCGCAAAGAACAGGAGCAGATCGGGGCGCCGTTTACTTTGTGAGAATGGGAGACACGCCAGTCTGGGCTGGAGGCTGGAATCTGACATTTAAGCACCAAGGATGGCAAAAGGCCAGGCTGGACACAAAATCAATGTTGGTTGCCTGAACTCATTGTTGGTCACCAAAACTTCAACCATTTAAAGTGACACTATTTCCAATATGTGGGGAAAATACCCCAACTGATAGGAAACACAGAAAAAAATGTTATATTTTTAAAGGTATCATCCCCCAATGTTATATTTGAGCTTTAGACAGTAAAAAACAAACAAAAACAGAAGCAACTCTAGGTATCCACCCTCCCAACCTGGGAAACAGTCATTGTCAGACTGACCTCACAAGAGGGAGGTCAAGAAGTCATAACCCGCCTGGACAGTGTGGCTCAGTGGTTGAGCGTCGACCGACAAACCAGGAGGTCACGGTTCGATTCCTGGTCAGGGCACATGCCTGGGTTGTGGGCTCAATCCCCAG